AGGAACACATGCTTTGAATATTCGAGGGGAGATCAAGGGACGCACTATAATAGTTTGGAGACGAAGCCGACGTATACCTCGTTCAAGAAATTGGCGAGCTGCTGCTTTCGGCGTGGCTCCCAGCACTGCTGACTTGAGGTCGCCTGCGACGCGGTGCGGTATAGGATGGTGCCGGCATCATCGCGTGACCAGGACAGGAACAAATTCAAGTGATGGCCGTGAGTTTGTACAATATGAGCACACACGATTGAGGTGATCAGGGTGTCATATCCACGGCGGGCCGACGAAGCAACACATCGAAACGCAAGTCGTCTGGAGCTAGCGGTACAACATTGCATGAGACCTTTTCCTGGAAGTGATCGGTGACGGGACTTTCGGGATGAGGCGTTTCGAGAGATTCTGTTGAAAGGCTTGCGACGCCCACTAAGAATGTAGCTGCTGCGCACGATGTCGTGGTTCAGGACCGTTGTGGTGTTTAGTTCGTTCAGGACGTAAAGATTGGCCAGCTCGCTTCTCGGCTCGCCATTGATCTTCAGTATGCACGGTCACAAACAGCGACTTGATGACGGTCGCCTCCACGGCGTGTGCCCGAGTTTCCGACTCCATTGTGGCGATAGGGACTAGGAATGATGAGCCGAGGCTTTGCTTGAGGGTGCCGTACCTGGCAAGACGACCGTCTTTGGATTGTGGCAATAGCAAGCTAGCCAAATATTCCAATGCTCGAGCTGTTACGTGCCGCACACCAGAGGATCCCACGAGGTTGGCTTCGCCGACGTAGCACCACGTGTGGGAGCCGATGAGATAGACGGCGACCTCCGAACTGTCGGCGGTCAGTATCCACTGTGAGATCCGCGGCCATGCCATTGACGGGCGCAAGACTATGTCATCTTGGTATTTTGACAGGAAAACGAAGCATTGTTGCCGCAACCACCGTGGGCAGTGAGCAGCATTGTGAGCTTGTCTGGGCCGACAGCCCAGACGCGGCCAAGAGTAGACATGTAGTGATTGGTTTGGCCTCTGTACGCACACCTCATCGATTGAGCGGTGGGAGCAAAGCGTTTGCAGACACTGCCAAAGCTGCCGCAAGGCTCGCGATATTGTCTGCTTGAATACACGAATCACACCATGAGACAATCTCGGGAAAGTTCGGTACTGAGGAACTTTTCAAGATCAAGCCCAACCGTTGAAGTTCAATGTGACGAAGAGCGAAATAATCGGATGGTGGCCATCGGTGACGCATGTGCATCTGCCTGAGGTACTGCATGTACACTGCAACGGTACCGAAAGACTGAAAGACTGGAACTCTCCACGGGCCGTTGCCATAGGCCAGGCCACCGAGGAACGTATGAGGATTTTTGGTCGCTTGGTCCATTGCGCACGGCGTTTCAGTTTGCAATGCTTGGCACGGCTCACGCGAGACCGAACTTCACGCGGTTGAGGGTTTGTGCCCGCGCGGGCTCCTGAGCCCAAAAGAAATTACAGAGATGATGAGGATGATGATGACGATGGTGATGATGATTGTAATGCAGATGATGCTGTTGTTGATGATGATGATGATGATGATGGTGATAATGATGATGATGGGCGTGGTGATGATGACGATGGTGGTGGTGGTGATGATGGTGATGGCGGCGACGAGAACGACGCTGATGATGAGGATGGTGGTAGTGGTGGCGGTGGTCGTTGGGGGGATGATGATGATGTTGATGATGATGATGATGATGATGATGATGGTGATGGTGATGGTGATGGTGATGATGATGATGGTTGTGATGGTGATGGTGATGATGGTGGTGATGGTGATGGTGGTGATGTTGATGATGATGAGGAGGAGGAGGAGGAGGATGGTGATGGAGGTGGTAATTGCTTCGGTGGTGGCGGCGGCGACGACAACACCGATGAAGCGGTCGAGCGAGCAAGGCCTTTTCCTCCTGCTCGTCTTGGTCCTTGCCTCCTGTTCTCGCCTTCTCCCTTTTCCCCCAAGCACTGGTTTCGCTAAGTGTTGTTAATGACTTGGGTGCAAAGGTTGTTTTCACTTGTCGGGCATGCCAGGCTTGGCGCATGTGTATTCTCAACAATTAGTGAGTTCGTGCCCAGATTCCGCCCCACAGGTGGGGCGGAAGTGCGGGCCCTTCTTCTTCTCTACAGCTTCACGTCTATGGCCGTTCCTGCCGCCACGCGTGGCCCTACGCAGAGCTACGCCCATCACAAAGCGAACGCATGCACAATCTTACAGCGGTCCTATCTACAAGAAAGAGTAACGATGGCGTGCACCACACCCTTGGCGCGATGGTGGTAGCACTCAGCGCTTCCTGGAAGACGAGAGCTTACCGGGGCGGCCTGGTCGTTCTCAGGGCCGTGGTTTCTGGGAGCCACTGGCCGATCGAAGAGGTGCAATCTTGAAGTGGTCCTGTATGCTAGTATGCAAGATAGAGCCGCGATGGCGTGCACCACACCCTTGGAGCGATGATAGCGCTCAGCGCTACCGGGAAGACGAGAGCTTGCCAAGGCGCCCCGATCTTCCTCCGGGCCGTGGCCTCTGTGAGCCCCCTGGCACATCGAAGAGGCGCATCGCCATCGACACCCACTGTATGTCATCTCGGGTCGATGAGCAGACCCTGCTGTCGACACCAGCCCAGCAGCTTGCACCACGTACTCTGGGTGGGATATTAATCGAGGGGTTTGCGACTAACCTTTGAACGGAGCTTGCCCATTCCCCCCCCCCCTCCACCTCCTCCTCCTCCTCCTCCCCCTCCTCCTCCTCCTCCTCCTCCTCCAACCCCCCTTCCACCGTTCCGACAACACGTGCCCAAGCCCCCCAGCGAATTCAAGGGGGGGCGACTATTGTCCCATTTGGAGTAGGTTGTACCACAGAGCTGGCAACCCCGATCTATGTGTGTGATGCGCAACACGGGTTGTAATATACAGAGCGCAAGACATAGACTACACCACATTGCTTGCACCACATTTTGTGCACCACACAGGTTGCACCATGCAGATTGCACCCCATATATGATCGATGGACGTGCGACGGTGCACAGTGGCTGAATTTGGACGACCAGGATATCAAGTTGGTGGTGTTTGGATGCGAGGTGGCTTCTGGAAATAAGATGGCTCGCAGCAGAGGAAGCCACAGATATCCAGGTCAAGTGCGCCAGATAGCGAGTTGATGAATGGAAAGGAGCGGCCAGCACGGATATCGTGGACACTGGTAGCGTGGCCCATCGGTGTAGCAAGGCCGCGAGACGTTGGCGCTTTCCTCACCCGATCGCGAAGGTAGGGGAACCAAGTCGCACTCCCAACGATTAGCTGGTGAGTTGGGGGAGGGCTTGGGCAACTACATGGGAGCATGTTTGTGGGCAGCACTCCCCGACTGGCCAGACGCCATACATTGGCGACCAAAAGACGCCGCCCTGCCTCGCGCCCAAGCAGCTCAGTAGCGCCTCGAGGAAGTTCAGCGCGAAAGAGGCTTCGGGCATCGACGGGCTGAGATCCCATTCATGTATGTTGATATCTGATGTAACCCTGGCAGCCTTTACCAACATCAGCAGTCAAATTGAGAAGACAAGGATGCTGCCGCAGCCCAAGACAGATGATGTGCATTGGCTCATGGGGCTCCTCCCTCGTGCGTTGCGATTTTACCGTCGGGCCATGAATTGCGTCCAGAACGATCGGAACGCACGCAATCCAAGGGGATTATGAGCGCGCCTGCGCAGCAAGAGCACGACACAGACAGCTTGGAAGCAGCGACCTCTCACAGAGGCCTCTTGCGAGATGGGGCGCCAGGTTGATTCCCCCGTCGTTGATTTGAAGAAAACTTTCGAGATGGTCGACCGCTGCCTGCTACACAGGGCGGCGGCCAGGCATGAGTTCCCGCGGCCAGGGACAGCTCCGTTGCAGCGGGCATACGGTGGCTCGTGGCCCATCGAGTTTGGCACCCTGGCGAGCGAAGCGATCCAGACCACCGCTGGGGCCCCACAGACGACAGTCTTCGCGGGAAGTTCTAGGGAGCGGGGGGGGCTCTGGGGGCTCGTCGACGAGATCGGATGTACTACTAACATCGCTATCGAGTGAATGCCCAATCACGAGAGTGCTGCTCAGAGAATGCGTGATCGTGCGGGGGGGAGCTCTGGGGGCTCGTCGACGAGATCGGATGTACCAACATCGCTACCGAGTGGATGCCCAATTGCGGGAATGTTGCTCAGAGCATACGTGATCGTGCGCCTTTCTAGTGGTGGGAAGATCGTCGTAGGGGGGCCGACCGCTCCGCTCGTCGTATCCGAAGAGGTCGTTCGCCAAGCCCCTAGGGCAAATGTGTTGGAAGTCAGCCAGCTTCATCCCAAAAGTGGTACTTAGTGGAACAAATAATGACATAAACATAAAAACTCGGAGGTCCGAGAAATCCGCGCGGACCCCAGATGTTTATGTCATTGTTCATTCCCCTAGTACTGTTGGTTATTAGCCAGTGCTCTACAAGACATGACTTGATGCGGACACCATCCCAGCTCTCGGCGGCGAGCGAGGGGCGAAGTGAGAAGGGGCGGGCCTTCTCAGAAGGCTTGGAAGTCCCCTGGCCTTCTGAGAAGTTTCCTAAGTCTCCCCCGAAGACCGAACACAGTAAAAACCTTTCAGAACGCGCGAGGGCTCCTGAGAAGTCCCGCCGCCTTCTGAGAAGACTGTCTCCTTTTCTTTTCCCCCCCTCGCTCGCCGCCGATCTTTGCTGCTCGTTGCGAGTTTCAGGTTGCTGGGCTGATCCCATCGGTTCTTCCCTCTCGCCAGGCTGCCAGGCATGCCTGAAGCTTCCTCGTTGT